ATTTGCAAATTACTCGTTCTATAGCATATTTTTGTTTTAAATAAAAAATTGTGTTGTGAGATATAGTCCTGCTATTTTTAACATGCTTAAAGTATATTGGGAAAAACTTCAAAATTACCACAATGTCATTTTCCAAAAATATTAGCTGTCTATATTATTATTAAGGAAAACAAGCATATTTTACTTTTTCTTATTTTAATTAATGATATAAACTAAAATTAGCTATATTAGATTTTATTTTACTTTTCCAAATTAGTCATATTAAAATTTATTTAAAATTTGAACTTAATTCACATAGAAGGAAAAAATCATGAGGTTGTTTTAAGTATTTTGTTTCTACTCTAAAAAAGGTATGTTGTTACTGATTTATTTTAATTATTTAGTTTAAACAAAAAAAAAACAAATTGGGTCTAGATTATGATTGAACTAAAAGACAACACTTGTGTAACGTACAATAAAATGAAACGGTCAGTACGGTTTATAATGGGGAACAAACAAGAAAGAAATGAATTGGGTTGTGAAGTTTAACCGACCCAACCTATATCAGTATATGACAAACAATATTCATATTTCCTCTAGAAAATCAATTCATATTTACATTTGACTTCTGAATACATAACTCTTGTGTAAATAAATTTTTGGGCCTACATATTCCCTTAGCCCAGAGATAAGAACATGCAATATGGTTTTCTTCCAAGCGCAACTTGAATATTAACCTTTGGATCTTAAGGTCTCTTAGCCAACTAATTATGATGTTAATTTACGGAATTAACCGACCTGGTACAAAGTCAACATCAGAAGCAAAACTCTAGCTATAACAAACAGCAACAAAGCAATGTCCAGTGGCTCAATTAGATCAGTTTGGAAATACTCTAAAATCAATTTTTTTACATTAACCAAACCCCAACATGAAGAACACACTTTGATGTTTATTGTGTAAAACAGAGTTAAAACAAACGAGAAAGATCCTTCTTTTATTTGGTTACTACATGACAATACCTTTCTCATGATATTAAACATAACACCCTTCTTCACTTCCTTAATCTTTTAAGACACGAGTTTATTAAAGCTGGGAAGAGTTATTGGCTATAGCACCAGCTTCAGTAAGGAGTGGCACAAGCTTGCCTTGCTTGTTACTCTCCATCACTCCTGCAAATATACAAAGCCAAATGAACAGTTAAGTGTTTCCCGCCACCTGTGCAGAGAGGAGTTTGTATAGTCTTACTATCGCATCCACCGATATGTTTTCCTTTGATGACAACATTTGGAACAGTGGTCTGTCCTGTCCACTCAGATAAAGCTGATTGGATCTCACCTCCATCACCTGTTTAAGTTGAGAGATCAGATTAGTTGTGTAAATTCGCATCGAACATAAAAAGGTGTTAAACATAGATTTGGTTTTTTTTCTTACTCATTTCATCGAGCTCCTAGCTGTGTCAACAACTGTTTCACCCTCAGTTGAACCAAAATAAATTTATAAGGTATAAAGAGGTCTATAAATTCTTCAGATTTATTACTTTCGATCAAATTTTAATCTTTTTTTTTTTCTTCATCGCAAACGTATCAGAGATTGGAAGCTTTTGGAGTTGTTATTTAGTCTTTATGTTCATTGATCACAAAACTCTGAATTTTCCAAAATTGATAAACAATTTGAAG